GAATTCATCCGAGCCTTGCCCGGAGCGCCTGGTAGGCGGGGTGTCAATATATGGCTCGGTTGATTGTGCCAGTTATGGACCAACTGCCAAGCACTAGTCTGACCATCTTCTCATTGGCCTTGCCCATCACCCTCATTTTCTCAAAGGCGAAGCCGTGGTTCAGCTGTTACATGTGACCATAGACTAAAAACAGCTTGTCCTTACGGTTGATTGCAAGTTGGTGTTCGTGCAGGCTTGTGCCCAAGCGTTTGCCCGTTTCACTAATATACCTTATATCGCAATTTTTTGCGTGGTACGCTGTAGATCACTGTTGATTGTTCGGTTACTGACAACTGATCTTAGGGTTTTATGACTTGCTGTCTGATTGTGGAGTCTGTTCTATGCGCCACTCCGATGACAAATGTTCAAGGATTCGTGCTATCGCCTCTGAAACGTTTCAGATTTATGGCTGTGTTTTGCTCAACCGAGGAAAAAAGAGGCTTCTTGATACATTTACGGATGAATGACTTCGGGTAACCGTTGGCTTTCTAAAGGGCCTGTAAGTACTTCCTCCACTCCTGATTCCCACTGTCGTTGCTACTGTGTGTTTGAACACGTCGGAAGAAGGTTCTGACACAACTGCGTTTGTGGCCAACACATTGGTTGCTTCAGAAGTGAAGAGTTCGCTTGGTGTTAGTTGCCTAGCGTCTGCCAGTTTTGTAACTTGGACTTCAAGGAAGGGCAGCTGGCTCTTGACTTCTTCTTTTAAGGTAAGCTGCGTAGAAACGTTAAAATTTTGGCTTGCGACCCCCTATGTTTCCCAACCGAAGCTCGCCATAATAGAATATAACCTTCTTAATCAATAACGGTGCAGCTCTTACATGGAGGGCTGTCTAGTCATACCATTAATCGCGAAGGAAATTTTTTTAACCAACCGACAAAACTGATTCAGTGGACTAGATTAAAAAATTACAGCGTATCCTCATGTTAAGGTAGTTGGTAATGCGAACGGACCTACCAGGGTCTGTATCGAATATAATTTTTGTGCCACATTTTCTTAGCAGATTTTTTGTTTTCAGGAAATGAACTATTTAAACCTTCCTTAATTTTCCCCTACAGATCTGGCATGTAAAGCTAGTCTGCAGCTCAATTCCTTTATGTACTTTGAAAAATTACTGTAGCCTGTAACCCATTTGGAACTATTTTATATAACAATTTTCGCAACGCAACTTTATCTCTCTCTCTCTGATTTCAGGGACTTAGATTTTCCGAATCAGGACACCTCTATCACCTACTCGATCGCGCCCGAAGTTACACAAGCGGAGCGCCTCTTTTCACTCTTTAATGGCCCTTCAGGTAGTTTCACGCTGAAGACTAAGGTCGTTTTGGATCGAGATACAGAAAGAACTGCGACTGTGCTCGTGCCCGTCATTGCTGTCGGCGCGCAGTCCCGATCAGCGACCTCTACCCTGACAGTTACAATAACAGACAGTTCGGCACCCAATCCTGATTCGCCCGCCACTGGCAAAACAGAGGTCTACATTCCCGAAGGTGAGTGCG